GGGATAACATAACGTCCTTGTTCTGCCTACTTTTCCCTAGGTCATAATCTTAAATCTTCATGTAAATGATATTAAACCACCACTGTTGGTATAATTACCCAACAGAGATGCGAGGATGGGTCCATCTACAGGGTCCATGAGAACAGCCTCTTTTTCGTAGTATTTACTGAAAGACAAATATGAAAGGGGAATTATGCGGGAATGTAACTCATTTGGACAAGATGCTGTTTCCCATCTCAAATTACCTGCTGTTCTCCACCAGGTAGAGGACAATCTTGTCTAGCACCTTCTCAAAAAGAGCCGTCCGTATCCACAGGTTCTTGACTACAGGTGGGCTGAGGCTGGGCAGTCGGGGCATCTTGCGAATGCTGTCTTGACTTTGCAAGCTTTGACTTCGTCTGCAGAAGGGAAAGAGTTATAATTTTAGGAAGTAGACGTGTTTTTAAAACTCCTGAAGCAAAACCCCATCTGCATAAAACAAATACAGTGGCATAAGTAACTCATGAATAAAAATGCCTATAAACATGAATTATTTAGAAGCTTTTCATCATAAAAATAAACCCCAGCCCTTCAGAGAGACAGTCATTTGTTTTCAGTGCTTTCGTTGGAACAACAAACAGGCTTTGGTGCAAGCTTTGAAGTCTGCTGTGATGTGTGATATGAGCTGTGATGTGTGCGTCTCGCACTTTGTCTCAATGATCTGCTCGAGCTCCTGGGCCTTCCTGCACAGCTCCTCAGCTGGGGGAAAGCTTTTCCCCACCTTGGTGAAGAGTGCCGCGATCTTGTTGCTACGTAGAAAGCCTGCCGCTCGCCGCTTCAGCCCATGAAGGACACACGCCTCCACTGCAGCTGTGTGTACAAAAGCACGATGTCATTATTAGGGTGCACTGATTAATAAGGTATGTCAGAAAAGCATAACAACACAGGACATGTGAATCCATCATAACAACAACAAAATCATCAAACCCCACAGAGAGACGGGCAAAATGTAAAGCAGAAAATGCTTCTGTGGCACAAAATTTTAAGTTTAATGTTATTTTTTTATTATGTTAGCAAAACTCATTTTACTTTAAATAGCAGAAAATATTATTTTAGCATTTTTAAATCAGCCGGGACAGTAAAAATATAAAAAGAAAGCTCACATGTTAAGTTGTTTTACATAATTTGCTATTTACACGTCACATGGACCCACAGGCAGATTCTGATGGATGGGCTTAAAGCCCATCCATCAGAATCTGCCCTAAAGCTTTCACATAAGAGTAACTTTACCTACAGCTGCATTAAATATTACCACAACTTTGATCGGCAATGACTAATGCAATTTTGACATCACCCAGAAATGTGTTTGGTAACATAAAAATATTATCTTATGGGTAGCTTTTATCATTCATTCTCATTCAGCCTAGCAGTTAGCTGACAAATAATATGGCTTGTTGCGCAGTTAATTGCACTAACAGTACCTTCAACACCTTAAATTTGGGCTCCAAATTTGGTGTGAAATTGTTCTTTTGTATGTTACTTGGCAAATAATTAGCAGGCATTCGTGGATCCCCCTTGTTAATCAAGTTTGTGTTAGCTGAAATATCGTCACTGGCCATTTATTTTTATACCTGGCTAGTGGATTGGACATTTATGATGTGAATCTCCCGATCCGCCACATCTCAAATGTGCACTATGCTACTGAGATGTGGTGACTGTGGAGGCCATTTGAGTCCAACTCATTGTCTTATTTAAGCAACCATTTTCAGGTGATTCGAGCTTTGTCTTCTTGCTGGGAGCAGCCATTAAATGATGGGCACACTTTGGTCATAAAGGGATGGACATGGTCAGAAACAATATTCACTGGTGGTGATTAAACAACGCTTGGCTGATACTAAGGGAGCCAAAAGTGTGCCGAGAAAATATATCCCCCACACCTTCACAGCAACACTAGCCTGAACCATTGATACAAGGCAGGATGTCTCCATGCTGTTTGTACCACTTTCTGCCCCTACCATCCGGATGCCACAGCAGGAATAGCGACCCATCAGACCATCAACCTTATCAATCTTCTTTCAATCACCTTTCTTGTGATGGTCAATCTGAATTTCAGCAGGTCATCTTGACCATGATGACTACATGGCTAAATGTACTGAGCTACTGCCATGTGATTGGTTCTCTGTTCTGTTTTAGTTTTACATATCGAAAGAGAAAACCAAGTTGACCGTTCTAAAGCTCAAGTTTCTAAGCTGTACTCCACAACATAGATGTTACTTTAATAAGTTAATACTGTGTATTTGTATAGTCTGCATGTATGTACGTTCAGTGCATTTAAACTGTAGAGATCTAACATCTGTCATGTGACCTGTTTGTTTTCTTATTTGATGAATGACCATTTGCTAAACTGTTTCCCTGGTCACATTACACTATTAAATATGCCAAACCATCAGATAATCTTCCAGTTTACCCAGTAAGCGGCCCACAAGTTAAAGGCATGTGGACACACTTGCACAGTCACTTGACCGTGGCAAAGAATAAGACACCCCCCGTTCCTTTTCAGGTCTACGTGGCAGCGCCTGGAGCTGTGTTGACATTTGAGTTCTCTTTCAGGACTAATCCCATAGCTCTGTTCACATGGGTTCAGGGGGAAGGCTGGGGTTGCCATGGCAACTCACGAGAGAGCGAGATGAGCAGAGGGAGGGAGGGCCAGCGCCGAATCATCGGCATCATGATCGTTGTCTTTCCACCATCTTCACCCCACTAAACACTGTCACTCTTTCCTTCACCCCTCCCCTTTTTTATGGACTTTCTCTGTCACTGTTAAAATCTGGTTTACAAGATTTTACTCCAGCACAGCCATTAATAGGCTCAGTTTTCCCCACCCTGAACATTTTTTTGCTAATTATCCCTCACATCTTTCTAAGGGCAACATGCTGAATGTCATGACTATATTAAAAGGCCTCCAAATATACTTCATGCCCTTTACCCTTTCACCATTTCAGCTAAGTCGTCTCCGATGCCAAAGCTGAAAGCAATAAAGCTTTAAACCTCTACACTTTTGTGGAAGCTTGTGTCACAATCTCTGCAGCATCACTTAAATTACATCCTCTGAAATTACAATCAACATCTGTGGCAGAAGTACTCATAGTTTTAGAAAAAGGGAAACCTGTTACTCACTTTTTTCAATACTGGAATTTCAACTTCTTTAGTGAAGTGAATAGTTTTATCTGAACCATTTAATGCAATTACAATCACAAAAATCATGTAGTGTGAAGAAAATGAGCATCACATGCACGGATTCCGTCCCTAATGGTGAAAACAGCTAATACAGAAAATTGCCTCTAATCATCCTGTATCTGTGGCAACTGAGTGCATTAGGAGACTCTTGGCAGTGACACAGCTGAACAACACTTCATCCAAGGCATTTGTGTTGGGGATCTCAGCAAATGAACGGGAGAGAGAGTCTGTGGGAATGAGTCAGCACGGGGTTCTAAAAATTTATTAGCAGCCCAATTTCAGTAAGATTTGAGTTTTAAAACAGAGTTGCTAGTGAAATATTTAGAGCAGAATGTGTTTGTTTTCCCCTTTATTTCTGTCACATAAATAATATCACACCATGAATGCTCGTATTAAACATCTCCAATAATGACGTAACCCCTGTTAACTTCAGTCTCCTCCTCTCTGCTCACTTTTAGGCATTTTTCTTTCTACTGTGTGTGTGTCACCATATCCCTGATATGGAAATCGTAGACACCTAACTCTGGCTGTAAGCTGAAAAAGAATACCCACCTGCCAATCTAACCTTCTTTTTGAGAATAGGAGTCAGTCAGAGAACAACTGCCTGAAGGGAAGGGGAGGGAAGCTAAAATAGCTTTTTTTGGACAGTGAATGAACCGAGAAGGGTGCATTATTGGTAAACATAAGACATATGAGCATTATTTTGAACTGTGAATCATGCAAAGCTGGTCTTAGGGTCCAAGGATAATCTTTTATGTGATACTGCTGGCCTGACTGCTTATTATACTGTGCTTCTTTAAAACTGTATGGCAACAAAACAGTGTATGTGCGCTCAAAATACTTCTTCCACTACCAACAGCAAAAGTGGAGGACACTTGTTGACAATCTTACTTTAGCTTCAGGAAGTATTTCTAACAGCAAAAATCCAATGAAGTGTTTCAGATCTGTTCACTACCATTAAGTGTACCCCATCCTTCAGGAGCTTATAGAATCACCTTTAGCAGCGATAACTCTCTCCCACATCATGGTGGAGGAGTTTTTCGTCATTCTTCTTTACATCTTTGCTTCAGTTCATTGGTGTTTGTGGCATTCGTTTATGTAAAGCTCTTTCACGGTAGCATTATAGCATTTCAGTCAGGATGAGGTCTGGACTTTGTCATGTTTTTGTTTTTTTTAGAGAGAACAGATAGCCCTTCCAAACAAATCATAGTTGTTCAGTCTTTTTCTAATTGTGTGGTCATGAACTTTAACATTTAACATGCTAACTGGTGCCTGTAGAGTCTGAGATGTAGCTCTTAGGTTTCGCTGATTACACAGTCTGACTTTGGGGGAATACTTGCTGAGAGGCCACTCCTGGGAAGATGTCTGTTTTGAATATTTTCTACTTGTGAATAATATTTCTTAGTATGATAGACTTCAAATTGTTTGGAAATAGATGAGAACCAACAGTTGTTCCTCATAAAACTGCCAAGCCCTTTGATTTTATAGAGGTGCTCACATTTGCTGATGATCATTTATTTTAATGGTACAGTGTTCAAAAGCATTTTATCTTTATTATGACATTTTTTGTAAAAATTCAAGTGAACAGCTTTTGCATTCCCTCTGCACTAACAGCATTTTAGCCTCTGCCTGGGCAGCTCATCACACTAGCCTGGGCTTTGAAACTTAATTGCTCCCCAGTGAGCAAGCTGAGTTTTTTCTCCCATCTTCCTCTCACTCTCTGTATAGACCACATCTGAAAGAAATGTAGTAGCAGGAGCCCCTACCCCCCAAAAAAACAAACAACCCAGAGATGAGAGGGTCATCCTGCTGCTGAATTGCCACTGGTACTGGTATGATAGCAGTAGATGAAAGATGTACCTCAGACAGAACAGCCGCTATTAAATCAGGCTATTAGATGATCCAACAGATAATGTCCACAGTGCAGGCTGAGACCGTTGAAATGAAACATGAAAGCACCACCGGAAACACATAAAGGGCACAACCCTCCCCCCCACAACACAACACAACACAACACAACACAACACAACACAACACTGAGAGGTATTAAAGAAGTCTTTTAGCTGCACTGTAACAAAAATCTGAGCTCTGTGACAAATTATTTTCATAACCCTCCTGCAGAAAAATAAAACTACAAAAAAGAGATTTGGGGTAAGCTGATTACTGGATGGGAAGGATGTCCAACATTATTCACTTATGGTTGTTAAATAGGTTCAAGCTGTGCTGCAAATTCTTTTCCTACTATGATAATAACCCAAACAGGCTCTACACAGACATTATGAGGGAGTGAGCTTACGTAAGAACCCAAAAAGGAAACAACATTGATTTCTAAATCAGCTTATTTTTGATTTTACATACCTCTAAATGAATTTCTTCAAACAATGACACTAAGAGGTAAGTCACTGTTTCTGCAGCGTCTAATTTACTTTTCCTTCTTTGATATTAGTCTGATCCAATTAGTCTGAGCAATGCAAGTGCGCAATTACAAGCCTATAGACAACACCAGTTTCTCTTTATTATCACTGGTACACCTCCTTGCACATTTTTTATACAGTAGTAGAATGATATCATTTACGCCCCAGGCCTTTTTTAATGGGATATTTTGCTTATTTAATCTTTTTCCCTACTTAATTCTCTTCCCTAGTCTAAGTATTTACAGCCTCCGGGCATGTAAAATGAAGCCAGTGTGGGTGTGCCGCGTGCAGTTCCTCTAGTGGCCACACGAGGCACGCGCTAAAGTGGAAAAAAGTAAAGTCAAAGAAGTCAAAGTCAAGAATCCAATGTGAAAAAGCTTATCTTTAAATCATCAAAAGGATGTTTTTGTCTCTATAGATAGTTTTCTCCTTCTTTAGGTTGGGCTTAATCTGTTTATAATTCATCAAGTTGGGCAACTGGCTTAAGAGTGTGGAAATTATCCTTTCATGGTCTATGGGAGTGTCACAACACAGGCAGAAACCTTTTGGTGTCCGCTAGGCTTCACCTCTGTTAACTGGAGTCACTGAACTGGACTTCTCTGCTACATTTGTGCCGTTGGTGCTTTTGAAGCATTTTCAGTTAAATTATCTGACAAGTAATATGGCACAGACTTTTTGCTCCAGTTTTGGTGAGTCAAATTTTTGTCTTTTGTTAGTCTCATCACTAATTAATTTCTCTGTGTCACAGTCGTACAGTTCATGGATGCAGCTTGCTGCCCAGATTTGCTGATGACACCACCTTCTTTTCCAAATATGGCCACTGCTGGTTTATAAAACAAAAACAAACCATAACCATGGCCAAAATGCCAATGCTTGAGTCCAATGGGTGATGTCACGCTGGTGATGTCAGTCTTTTAAATACAGTCTATGCTATTAACAGCTCTGTCTATCCCTTTGTTAGTTGTTATTCTGTCACATGCCTTATTTTCTGCCAGTGTTCAGCTTTATTCATGGTTTGATTCCCTGAGCTTCAGAGTAACTTCTTAATTTTTTTTTAACTTAACCTGTGTGTTTTGTGACATTTAAAAAAAAACACATAAATACGCATAGGTTGCTTTGTCCTGGCCTAACCAATCATCCCAAGAGTCAGAGTTTAGGTTCTAATCTGAACACCATTAAAAATTATTTATTTCACATTAATAATGATGGTCTGTGTTATGCCATGCCTTTTTTTCCCCAACAGTCTTTATCTTGGCACACAGCTAGTAAAAATATCACCTTTTCTGCAAGCTGAGAGTCATTTTATTCACACTTAAATCCACAAATATATCTTGTTATTGATTATAGCTCCGGTCTGAGCCAGACATCCGATGAGCGTGACCACCTGCATGTGGGCAGTGTGTTTCTCGCACTAATCATACTGCAATCCAGAAATGTGATTTGGAGGCAAGAACAAAAACACTTGGTAAAGGACTGAACTTTAAATATCTCTTATTTGTACTTAACAATAAATATACTCTTGTGCTAAAAGTGTGTCACATAGGCATTGACACACTCACCCACCATCCACCATCTCTCCTTGTGGAAAAACTAATTCTATAACATAGACCAATGGATAATTTCTTTGTAACAACCAAATTTTCTTTGAATGTACTGAACATCTCACTGCTATCAATAACTCTACATGAGAATATTGATTAATTTAATATTAATTAAAGAAACCCTTCTATTCAGTTAGTGGCGTTGGAATGAGTGTAAATAGAATAGAATAATCCTTTAATTGTCCCACAAGGGAAAATTTGGTTGTAACAGCAGCAAAAAGACACATATACAAACAGAACAGGACGCAGGGCATAGAACAGAAGCACTCAAAATCTTTACATATTTACATCGTGGACAATAGTTACCAAAACAATACTGTACAGTTATTAAAATTAAAGTACAGATAAGTGGCAAACCCAGGTTGTAGTGTGCAAACAGAGCAGGATACCGAAAGATGTTTAAATAGTAAGAATATTTAGAATAACTTGAAAAGTACAGGTTGTGTATCGTACCTGTGCATTAAAAGTAGACATGTAACTTCCAATAAATTAGTATATATAAACTGAGAAACGTAATGTGCAAGTTATAACAGTAGCAGTTGTTTGGTTGAAAAAAGCAGAAAAAAGCAGAAAAAAGTGCAATGAAGTAGCTTAATGGTTAAGAGAAGTATCACTGCGATTGCTTTGTTTTTAATTTTATCCTGTAATCCATAAATGAGTTGTGAGATGTAAGCAAGTATGATTTGTGTATAATTTATAATATTTTAATGGTTGAAATTAATCATGAGTTTTAGGCCACTTTTAAGAGAAATGTAAGATCAGGTTGTATAGTTAGACATTCAGAGCAAAAGACAAACAAGATAAAGAGTAACTTGACTGAAATAAGCTGACATTAAGCCTTTCCAGCATTGCAGAATTACTTGGAGAGCAAAAGCTTCATGATTTGTTTGATTACTCACCACAAAAGGACACAATATGGCTGCTGTCTTCGTGGACAAATTTCCTGGTGACAGCTTCTTCCATAATCTGCTTCACCTGTCAATGACATGGCAGATGTTGGCTGATTAATTCATTAATATACCACAACAGGCAAAATTTGGTGGCACAGGAAGATAAATATATATTCAGATCTGTTCACTACCATTAAGTAGTATATAATGGTATACCATTAAGTATACCATTATATATATATATATATATATGTAGTATATAATGGTATACCATTAAGTATACCATTAAGTATACCATATACCAAGTATATATATATATATATAATGTAATTTTGTGCATAAAAATGAGCTCAGTGATGAACTGGGGTTTGAAATTAAGGGGGGGAGGGGGGGGGACACTGAAGAAGGAAGAATGCATGTTAAGTTGGTGGATGAGTCACCAGCTCTCATCTCAAACTACTGGGAAATGAAGGAGATATATTTGGGTGTGGAAGGAGAAAAGGGAAGGGATGGGAGTTCATCACAGACCCTTGTTTCTTACTTTTCACATCCAAATGAATCAAAGCCCAACTTGTTTTTTAAATAAGGATAGAGAGGGTCAGACATCAGAAATGGTTATTATTTAGGTTTTGTCATCACTGGGATCTGTGCCTCTCTCTGATCACATGCCAACAGCTACAGTTGGAGCCATAAGATTTTGGACAATGACACATTTTTATAGTTGTGAACCACCACAGTAGAATTAAAAAAACAAAACAAATCAATCAACAGACTGATGTGCAGACTTTCGGCTTTGCATTAACTGCTTAAGAATAGCAACATGTTCTACACATACATGTTATCAAGGGAAGTATGGATGAAAAGTGATTGGACATTTGTCTGACACCTGGTTTCATGACCAAGTGAGGCCTGTTGCCTCGTTATTCCACAATGCATTAAGTAGACAGATGAGCCCGGGTTGACTAAACTTGCAATTGGTAGCTGTTCACTGGAACTCTCAATATGAGGTCCAAATGAGGGAGGCCATCATCAGGCTGAAACTACTGGTTACACTCAGGAAGACGGAGGCCAGATTAGACTTTGTCAGAAAACCTCTAAACCAGCCTGCACGGTTCAGAACAAATATTTGGTCAGATGAAATCAGGATGAATCAGCTCATGATCTGACACCACATTATCTGTCAAACATGGTGGAGGCTTCGGCACGCACTGTATGTCTTCCAGTCGAAGCAGGTCAGTACTGTTTATTGAACATGTGACTGCTGATAGAAGCAGTCTATAAAGATGAATTCAGAAGTGTACAGGGTTATACCCTCTGCTCAGATCAGACAAATGCTGCAGAAATGAACAGACAACACTGCACAGTGCAAATAAAGAGCAGCCAAAAGCAGACTGCAAAAGCAACCCAAGGTTTTCTCAAGGGAAATAAAATATTCTTTAATGGCCAAATCAGTCACCTGTTTCAGTCAAACAGAACATGATTGCCAAAGGCCAGAAAAACCCACAAACAAGCAACAACTGCAGTAGGTGGTTGCAGAAAAGGTATAACATAACAGTTAAAGGGAGGAAACAGAATTTGGTGATGTCCCTGTCTTTCTAGACTTCAGGTAGTCTTTGACTGCAAAGGATTTTCATCCGATTATTAAAATAATCCTTGTATTTAAAATGATGTTAGCTTGTTTAATTACTTTTGATCTTCTGAAAGTGGGGAACTGTGGGTAAAAATAGTTGTAATTCCAAACCATTTACTGCTAAGATTTTTGTTAAAGCTAAAAATCTGCATATTGATCACATAAAGATTGTATCCACTGTGGAGGTGCACAGAGGCAAAACTACAAAAAAGGTAAGTAGTCAGATAATATAAGGCACTAACTGTATAGCCAATAGTTAAGATGATTGGATGTATCAGATGCTCTGGTGGCTATGGAGACATCCTACTGTGTGGGCACTGGTCTGCAATATGCATGGAAAGTATCAAGCCCTGGACACGGCCACACAGATAGCTGTAATTTCCTGTTGAAAAGAGTCTGTCCATAACGACCATATTACACTGCCAGGTTCACCCACTACACACAAAGACATTGACTTACGGACACACACAGACACACACAGACACACACAGACACACACAGACACACACACACTCCTTCTCCAGCACATTAACTCTATATTTCAGTGGCATGGGCAAATATTTTCTCTGTGTGGCACTTCTGCAACTGTAAGGCAATGAAATTTACAGCGTGATCATAATATTTTCCACTAGATAAAGTTCTATCTTCAGATTGGATTTTCCACTATGGCACAATTAAATTGATTAATAATTTCACTACTAGTTTACTCACTATACATAAATGGATTATGCCACCTGTATTTTGATCTCACATTTACTGTAAGAAAACAGAGATAATTAAATCACTTCAGGTCATCCATTTGGCATTCAGATCTTTATTTAAGCAAGCATGAGCTGTTAAAATATTAAGGCACACAGTACTTAAAGGCTGGCCATTATCTAACTATTACTACTGGCTATGAGGAATTTAAGTACTGCTGTTAATCAAGATGACAGTAATTTTAGCTACTTTACTGTTGATATTTATTCTAAGCATAGCATCTGACGTTTATGTTTATTGTTCATTTATAAAATGCTAATCTAGTTCTCAAACAAATGAGGTAAAAAGTGTTAACCTCTCACTTAAATTTGATTTTAAGTGAGAGGTTAACTATAATAACTGAAAAGTACTTAAATGTTATACTTGAATAAAGTTACTCAGACATTTGACAGTACTGGTAAGTTTATATAGTGATGTTTAATACTGTGCAGAAATCTTGAGTCACCCACCACGTCTTTATATTTTGCTTGGAAAATGCTTTCCACAAGATTTAGGAGTATGTTTATGGGTATTTTTGACTATTCTTCTAGAAGCTGCAGGCAAGCACAATGACCAAGCACAATGCAATTATTCAGATCCTGTGGTGAACTCAAACATTGATGTTGGACAAGAAGGCCTAACTCGTAGTCTCTGCTTTAATTCATCCCAGAGGTGTTCTGTTGGGTTGGACTCTGTGCAGGCCAGTCAAGTTCTTCCACACCAAGCTCCCTTATACATGTCTTTGTGGACCTTGCTTTGTGCACATGTGCAGTCGTGTTGGAACATCCCCAAAACTGTTCCCACAAACATGAAATTGTCCAAAAATGTCTTGGTATGCTGAAACATTACGAGTTCTTTTAACTAGAACTAAAGGACAGAGCCAAACTCCTGAAAAACAACCCATAATCCCACTCTGCATTGTGCTTGGTGATGCAAGGTTCAGATGCAGCTGCTTGGCCATGCAAACCCATTCCATGAAGCTCTCTACACACTTCTCTTGAGCTAATCTGAAGGCCACATGAAGTTTGGAGGTCTGTAGCGATTGACTCTGCAGAAAGCCGGCAACACCTGGGCACTATGCACCTCAGCATCCGCTGACCCCGCTCTGTGATGTTACGTGGCCTTCTACTTCATGGCTGAGTTGCTGTCATTCCCAGTCACTGTCACTTTGTTATAATACCACTAACAGCTGACTGTGGAATATTTAGTAGCGAGGACTGGACTTGTTGCAGAGGTGGCATCCTATCACAATACCATGTTGGAATTCACTGACCTCCTGAGAGCGTCCCATTCTTTCACAAATATTTGTAGAAGCAGTCTGCATGCCTCGGTGTTTGATTCTATACACCTGTGGCCATGGAAGTGATTTGAACAGCTGAATTCAATGATTTGGATGGGTGAGTGAATACTTTTGGCAATATAGTGTGCAACACTGCATTTCCTACCCCTATTTTTAAGACGGAGACTACAGGCACGAAAATGTAACAGATGCACAAACACTGCTAAGAAAATCTGCCAACTGAGCTCTCACTGTTTATGCAAGATGACAAATTCAATCCACAAATCTTTTTTTTTTTCTAAATACTTGGACGACAAATGAACCCAGAAGCCTGGAATAAAAAAAAACAAAACAACTCACTAATTAGACAGCAGTCATTACTCAAACTTGGACTGTTCGCATCAGTAGCATTGTTTTCTTTAGCATCAACAGAAATGATTCACACTGCCGACACGCCAGAGAAAGTGGCAGTCACTGTGATGCACACCAGCTCTGTTAATGATTATATAAAAGCCTGCGTTCACGCAAACACACACAAACGCTTAAAACACAGAGGGCTTTTATATGCACCAGTTTTCTTTCTCAGTGCATCTGACACACAGAAAACTGACTGCTAACTTGAGGAAGCACCCTCCTCCTCCTCATCGCTCTCGTCTGGGCTACAGATCAGGCCTCTGAGGAATTTATATGGTAAAACGTCTAAGCACAGACAACCTACAGGTTTCTATGGAGACGTCACGAGTCTCACAGTGGATCACTTCCGCCAAAAGGACGCGCAAACATTCATTCATCTCTGAAATAAGAGGCTGAATGCGGCTCTCCGACAGCCACTATTAATATCTAGATGCACCGTGTTGTCGTCATCTTGTTACTCTGGCATCAATAAAGCAGAAATACCACCCAGACTTTACTTTTTAAAGTAACCATATGTGCTACAATATCACCCAGGAAACAATATATTCTCACTGAGATTTAAGAAAAAACTGAAAATTTAGAGAAAAAAATGATTCATTTCATCAGCAAAGCACGATGAGTCTGCTTGAAGGCAACAGCCTGAGTGATAAAGGATCTTTTGAGTATTCCAATTAACTCCTCCAAGAGCAGAGAAAGGAAATAAGAGGGAGAGAGAAAGCTCCTTGCATTAAAATCTCCATCCTACATTATTCATAATCACTAAGTTTAATGCTGAATGAAGGGAGCGCACAATAAAAAAAATAATTACTGTTATTCATGTTAATCTACGGCACACGGAGCTGCAGTTCTCTCATAAAGAGGTCCAGCTGAATCACGATTCCATTATGTGAATTACAGCTTAATACCGAATGAAAAGAGTGATCAGCTGTAAAAATGGCAGAGAATGTGATGCCACCATAAAGGTCAATATAACCAAAACACAGCCCAAAATAGTTCCAAGGTACTCTAACCACAGGGTGGCTTT